AAAAAGGTGGAAAAGCAACGTATGGTGTCGTTGGTAAGAGTACTGAGAACAGAGATATCCCATACTTAACAATCACTAAAACTGGTGGCACTAATAAGAAAACAATATTTTTTGAATGTGGTCCGTTATTTTGATATTAAATCATAGAATCACAGTTTAATCATTTAATGTAATAACCAATAGGAATACACGCCAGAGAATGGATCTCAACGGCCGCCTGTCTGTGGATATCAAACCAATTGGTTTCGACCACTAATTATGACAACCTTTTGGAGAAATACGAGTTTATAATCGTACCGACGCTTAATCCCGACGGGTATTGCATTTGTTATTATAAAATAAAATTTACTTATAAATTTACTTTATAATTTTTTATATTTTTCCATTTTATATCACAGTTATGTCTACACTCACACTACAAATAGGAAATGGCGTAAAACCAGATCAAAGAATGGTCTGTGCTATGGAGCGGATCCTAATAGAAAGTCAGTCAATATTATAAAACTTAATAAATACTATAGAAGTGTATAACTGTAGCCATTATTATATTGTATAACAAATTGATTATAGCTGGGACTCAGCGTTTTGTGAAGAGGGGGCTTCCGATTATCCATGCGATGACGACTATTGCGGGAAATCAGCCTTTTCTGAACCCGAGTCCAAAGCGATGGCAGAGTTGGTGAGAGGAAAGGCGGCCAATACTGCCGCTTATTTCTCACTCCACAGCTATAGTCAGCTCTGGATGTATCCGTGGGGTTATACAAAAGCCAGTCCACCAAATAAGAGTCAATTGGTTAGCATTTGTCAATTGCTTTTAATATTTTCAATGCATTATTTATATTAAAAACTTAATTCTTTGAAAATATTGTGTAAAACAGGACACGTTGTCTAAATTGGGTGTCGACGCTATTAAAGCCACAGATGGACTCTCTTTTACTTACGGAACGATTGCTAATACTATTTGTATGACTATTTGATGCAATTATTCTACTATTTTGTTACTAATATTTTGAATTCAAACTAAATAGACGTGGCTTCGGGTTCTAGTGTTGATTACGGTATGTCTTCACACCATAACTATAGGAATTGTAATTTAAATAATGATTAAATACATGCAAATAGTTTACGACACACTTAAAGTTAAAGTGGCCTTCGCTCTGGAGCTCAGACCCGACCGCTATTCCCCCAATGGCTTTGTATTGGATCCCAAGTATATAAAACCTGCCTCTGAAGAGACCTGGAATGGACTCCTCGCTGTCATCGAGAATCTTGATAAATGATTGAATAGCAATACTTTCAATTTTTGGTAAACAAAAAGTTACCAAATAAGAATTACGGATAATTCATATGACACGTATGGATCAATTATAAATTCAAAATTGTTTTTCAATATTTAACAATTTGTTTATTCATTAAATTAAATTAAAATAGCATGAAAAATATAAAACTGTATTTTGTTTGAGAGTGAAATGATTTACTTTTATGTTATTCTTGACTTTGTTGTACAGTATAAACCATAACTTCCATCAATTTTGATTACACGAGGAATTTATAACTTTGTTAAAATACCAATATTTAAAATTTACTTAAATAATAATAAACTTATTCATCAAAGTGTCTAATAATTACATTTAAATTTTAATTAAACCTTATGAAAATATAAAGTTTTAAAACATAAATATAATTTTGATTTAAAAATGAATGATAAGATTCGGCATTAATTGAATGATATTTGACTAAAAAATAATTTGTAATCAAATTAACATTGTTTGCGAACATTATTCAGATATATTGCAGTCAACATAACAACATAAATAACAATATAAATGGCATTAAAATATTTATAATTTATATACAATTCCTATCATTCACTCATCATTAGAGCAAATATTGCGAAAAATATAAAAACAATTCCTCCGATGAGCGTAACTGTCAAATAAAATTCAAACATTAATTTCATTTAATCGTAAAACAAATAATTAGTATTAAATTTACCAGTTTTGACAGAAATCATTTGTGCAATTATTCTTCCGCCAAGAACTGCGATACCGGTGCAGATGCAGTGTCCACACAGGGCTCCGATTGTAACGCCCAACACATCCTGTGTTCAAAGGATTCACAAATTGAGTATCAAATGTATTAATCAACCAAATAAAGAGTCAATACCTCGCGAGCGGCCAAAATAATTGTACTGATTTGACTCCTATCGCCCCATTCGGCCAAAAATGTCATCGTAAAGGTCTCGATGAACACCAGCGACACGTAGACCATCAGCTTTCGACGCACACGAGTGCCCAACGAAACTGAAGATATGGTTTTGATGACACCTGTCTCCGGGTCTTCGGCCGATGTGGACACCATCTGATCGACAATAAAATACAATATAATTATATAAATTGCCATAAAAATAACTATCAATTGCAGTGATTAGTACATTGTATTCGAGATCTACTGTCTCGCGTTTGCTCAGAGATTTCTGGACCTCTTCGTACTCTTCCTTCCCCTCGTCGTCAGACATTTGATGAGCTATTGGTTTAAAATTCAATGAAAAACAAACACACGTTAAAATCAACAATATTTGGAGACCAAATGAGGTGATGGTTACCTTCGTGAAGCATTTTCAGACCAAATAACGCAAACAATATAATAGACCCGTAATGAGTGAAATACCGGGGGATGACTGTCGTCGCCATTCCCAGCAGTACTGAAAAGAGACAAACAAAACACGTTTAGTCAATGACAGCGTTGTCCGCAAAGACACAGTTCTCATGTCATTACCGGCCAAAGTGTTCATAACAAATATGGCAGACATGGCAGCCATGAAGACAGTGCTTCTCGCGTGTCTCATAGCCATTATGGCCGCAATGAAGAATGTCTTGTCTCCCAATTCCGATACAATGATCACCGAAATGGATGCCACGAACGCGTGAAAGAACTTGAGTCGACCCAAACGAGACCACAGGTCGTCGTCGTCGTCCACAGTCTGATCCATATATAAAAGACAATATGTTAGTCATCCATGTCTCACAACTGTGGCAATTATCATCACAACAGGTCATCGCATAACATCACAGTCACTACAAAACAAGCGATGAGTTGTCACGACTGTCTTACCTCTTGCGTGGATTTGTTGTCCACATAATTGACCACATCTTTAGACTTGAAGTCACTGTTGAAGAAGTCGTTCCCGGAATGGCTCTCATTGTGATCACAATTAATGGATTGAACGCACGATAAGAGGACTAACACTACAATCACTGAAACACAACTATTTGTGACCAATTGTTGTGATAAACATTTGGCCACAGGTCTGGCGTTTGAACCAAATTTAAATGTAAATAAATTAAAACAAAAGTCATTGAAATCACTAAAAAGGGGACAATAATTGTGCTGAAAGTTGGCGTCAATGGGAGTGTGAGCGCCGGTCTTGCGATGGCTGGACTCGATCGGTGACAATGTGTTCATCGCTGCCGTCTGTATGGCTGTTGTGTCCACGCGTTGTGTGAATGGTTTGTCTGATTGATAGGACAGTTGAGACACAACTCGACGACAACTCACGCAGTGTTGTGTGTAATCAGCGATAAGGAGACCACAAAACCGATGCCAACATTACGTGTGATGTCTTCGCAATCATTGCAATCAATGCTTTTCTCAATACAACTCAACACAACTCACACTCAATACACACTTGACTTTCAAACACTACACTCTATGGGCAGTGAGTGTGCGTTCGGCTTCCCAGCAGTGCATCACAACTTCATTTACCACATTATATTCACATTTAAATGCATTTATAATGTAATAATTGTGTTTATTATTCTGTAGTGTAATCGTTGACATCACACACACTCTTGTCATATCATTTAGCAGTAATTTCTTGTAATTTACACTACTTTTTATCTCATTCCTTAAGGATATAGTGATTAGAAGAGAGTATTAGTCAAACACCTATTGCCTAATATTAGCGCTCATATTGTGTTAGCAGTGATTTGTTACGAGAATTCTTCACTACTTATTCACCCATTTCTTAAGGAATGCTTTTCTTTGAAATCATTAAATATTTCATTAATAAACAAGGATTGCAGGCATTGCGAGAAGTTAACTACATTTTGGGATATTGATGCATATCAAATATAATCAATGCTAGGAAACTTTCATTATTGTCATTTTTAAAATTTAATATATTTTTAAAATAAATTTTAATTAATGGTTAGATTACTTCATAATTTCTCCCATAAGAAAAGTATTGTCCCATTAGAATAACATTACTCTCATAGACTTAACATTAACCCGTAGGATTAAATTACACATAGACTTTACGTTGCCATAGGATTTACAATTAGATCCCATGTTAAACCCCATAGGGTAGAGGGGGTGGGAGGTGCCAAAGTGACCCTATAAACTACAATTTCATACTGAAATGTTAAAAATGATGTAAAAATGAAATAATGGGATTATATTTTAACATTACTGTTAGTATTTATTATGTAAACTAAAAGTTTAAATACTTTATTAAATGTTTATACAATATGGTTATGAACTTCTAGAACTATTAGAACTTGTAATATAATCATTGAATATTTGTTATCATAAAGTTATACAACATTCGCATGAATTTCCTAATAATGACTACAATTCCAGAAAAATGTGTTTCAATTGTACATAATATTTGCCAAAACGATAGTAAAATTCAAAACAAGTTTCCAAATATAAATCAGTTTTTATATGTTTTGTATAATAGATTAGTTTGAAAACAAAAATATGTAAAACATCGAGGGATTGATTGAAACCAATTGGACATGTGTTTTGTATGATCTACTGTTTTCATAGCATTTTACTTCCACCGCAGGGTCTGGTCTGACAGTTGGTGTGTCTGCGCCGGCAAGTGATACCTAACCTACAGGTGATTGTAATGAATAAAACAGGTATCAAAACCTGTGGACGAGGTCTGAAAAGTTGGCTTAACTTTGAAATGCCAATCGACGGACGCACAGGAGTGCCGCCAGAGTGCGTGACCCGCGTATAAACACAAGTGTTATGCAATGTCTGTGACTCTCGTTTTGCATCTAATCATTGCGTGAAAGTCATGTGAGTGTGTATTGAGGGGCCGATTGTGTCGACACATGTGGTCAACACTCGTCAACACTACACATGCATTCACACAGCGAGTGATACGACCCACACATTCAACACACATCTAATCCTACAATTTAAGCGCAAATCACTTATTCATATCATATGAACAGTGAATTTAGAAATCATGAGTCAATTAATGGTAAACTTTTACAAAACTGTTTAAATAAATGTCAAACAATTTATTGAAATGAAAAACAGAAACTTTACAAAACTATTTTCAGAGCAGTTATAACATTGAGAGTAAATAACGTTCAGTAAAACAACACAAACAATGCATTGCAGAGCACAGGAGAGAGTCATGTCTTACATATGCATTATTTATTGTCGATGGACTCAACAATATTGAAAACATAATACCATTTTGACCAAAAAGTACGCCAATAATGGATGGGTTGTCACACGTCTGATGGGGTTTAGCTCACAGTAATAGTAAACGGGGGGACAAAAGGGGTTCTAAAAGTGTTGCCATTTGAACGTAAAGTGTGTTCGAATTTGTATGCATTTGTGTCTGAAGTGTTGCTCACATGATGTGAGCCATACTATAGGTCTGTGGAACGCATTAACGTCTGTAATGTCTGTATAGCTGTTGTGCTGTTGTGTGACGTCATGTATAGTAAGAGTAAGAGTCAGTCATTGAGTGATTGATTTCATTACNGCTCACATGATGTGAGCCATACTATAGGTCTGTGGAACGCATTAACGTCTGTAATGTCTGTATAGCTGTTGTGCTGTTGTGTGACGTCATGTATAGTAAGAGTAAGAGTCAGTCATTGAGTGATTGATTTCATTACAAACTCGTATCAAATCAAACCATTGTTTGCGTGAAGATTACACCATTTGGGCCACGATTTGGACACACAGTCGACGCCACCATTGATTGAATACACAATCCATACGACAAAGTGTCCACTCATTCGCCGCACGAGTCGTACCCGACGTAACCCTCAATGTCAACGCCCGCCCGAAGACGACTTATGCGTGACTTTAAACGGTATACCAATTGTCCGATCGNCATTGTTTGCGTGAAGATTACACCATTTGGGCCACGATTTGGACACACAGTCGACGCCACCATTGATTGAATACACAATCCATACGACAAAGTGTCCACTCATTCGCCGCACGAGTCGTACCCGACGTAACCCTCAATGTCAACGCCCGCCCGAAGACGACTTATGCGTGACTTTAAACGGTATACCAATTGTCCGATCGCTCACTCAATCACTGCAAACACCACTCATTCAATACATCAAACAATGGGTTGATTTTGTGGTCACTTTCGGGACCCATTTGTGTCGTCCAGAAGTGTGTCCACACAACTCATTGTTTGATGCGTTTGAATAGCCATTCAATTGATGGCAAAACACAGTCTTATTTAGTCTTTAATTTGTAAATAACTGTTAATTAATGTATTGTTTCTGTGTTTGTCTTCCAGACTGCAAGAGGACCCGCCGGCGGGTGTGAGCGGAGCGCCAACTGATAACAATATTATGATCTGGAATGCAGTCATCTTCGGGTCAGTTGTGTCCGCACAACGCTCTCCTTTTGATTCATATTAATATTGTTTATTGTCTTTGTTATGCATTGATTCGGTTGGCAATGGATTGCGATGTAATGAATGGGTGATGACTGTGTGCTCGTATGCTGTGGCGGTGTTGTAGTCCACGCGACACTCCCTTCGAAGACGGAACCTTCAAATTGACGCTCGAATTCACCGAAGAATACCCGAACAAAGCGCCGACCGTTCGGTTTGTGTCCAAAATGTTTCACCCGAACGGTAAATACACATGAATTTTATGCATTCATACATTAATTGAATCATTCATTTCAATGATTGGACACTTTGTTTAGTGTCTGGTTTTACATATGATTTGGTGTTTTTTAAACGCTAGACTTTTCGCTTTTTTCTTTCTATTGGTATTACATTTGCAGTGAATATGTTTAGGCATTAAAAACACTGTTTTTCCCATTAAAACAATTGGTTGTTATAGAGTTGGTGTGAATAACGATATTCCGGAAGTGATAAATATTGAGACCAATTGAGTGAATATATTATACAATTTTGAGTCCATTTAATGAGAGGATAACATTTAGTGTTGCGTTTATTTCGCTATCATTTCCTTTTGTTTAATTTAATGCATAAGAAATCGATTCGCGAATTAATTATATGTGTGAATATCTCACTCTAAATATCATATGATTTCAATAATTAAATGCTAAGTATTTTAAAATAACTGCAAATTCTGGGCAATAGTTGTGATGAATTAGTATTGTTTTAGAAGCGCCCATACGATGAGCCAAAGCCAAGATCAAGGCTTTGGGATTTTGCCCACATTTTACACAATTTTCTCGTATATAATGAATAATGAATTTTTTAGAAAATTGTTTTTTAACATTTATTTCAAATAATTTATGCAATTCTGATAGCATTTGATAGCAAATACAACACAAACATCTACTGACGAATCATGTGATACGGATATGTTTTGTTAACAAACGATTCGTTAACGCAATCAACATGTTTGAAATGAATATTCATTTCATTTTTTATGTCATTAGTCCTTATGTGTTATGTTTGATATGTAGAGCCTTTTGATACCATGAATTGGTTTTTAATGTTTTAAACAATTTTTATATGAGACACACAATTATTGTGTATATAATATATAGTAGATTATGAGATCATAAATATTTTTTCGATATATATTTTGGAAATATTTAGGTTTTTTCCATAATTGAGTTAACGATTAGATTTTGGTGAATTTGAATGAAAATTACAATAATAATTATTGAATAACTACTCTCGTAACTTACGTAATGACTTAAGAATGACAATTGAATAAATAGTAAATTAAATTAATACCTAACTTAACATATCTTTTACTAACGTCTTTGCTCTCATCAATGGGTTCTCTAATTTAGGGTTGCGTTCAATAATCTAGAAATTTCTAAACGTTTCAAAACTATTTATTTATCTTTCATTTAATGTTAGGTTTCTGTCGATTATTGATCACGAATTGTATATTTGAAACATTTTATCAGTTTTTGGTCGCGTTTTTGTCTCTTTTATATTGACTTAATATTTGGTTTTTTGATGATTGAGTAAAATATATACAATATTTGATGAGTTATTCCAACCCCTATTGTGAGACAATGTTTTGATGATTGAATTGCATAGGATTTGCCGATTATTGCACGCAATTGGTATCGATATAGAAACGTATATATTATATACGGATATATTACCCATAATCTCAACATAAAATAATTTAATGATAATAAAGTAATATATAAATAGATGCAATCAATCCGTTACATAACATTTCTGCTCCATTGCAATATAACATTCACTACCAGTACAGCTGTTTTTAGTGATAATAATCATATATATATTTTTACAATACAATTTTATCAAGAATTGCAATTATTTGTTATTATATACAGTATATTCTTAATCCTATATTTCAAATATCAAATTCTTGTTCACAGAATTTTGTAATCACTTTTACTTTTCTAACATAACAGTCATGTGTCTCTCATAAGTCGTACACATAATTGCATTTATAATGAATTAAATAACTGTATTCCCAGTGCTATCACAACATTCATCGCATATTATATCATAAAAGCGACGATTACTGTAAGGAAATTAGTATACACTTGAAAATATGACCTCCATTTCAATGATTCAATTTGTCGCTTATTTTATTTTATATTCTGTACTAAAGCTATAGAAGTTTCGTAATTATTTAGAATATTATTTTTTAAATCACAATTACATTTGTTTCGATGCCATTTACAGACTGCCAACAAATTAGACAATCGTTTTCCATAAGCATAACGTGTTTTGCGTGAAAATCTAATGCCTATTGTTTGCCATATTTTTAGAATTCAAGCGAAGTATTCTGTGCTGAGAATATGTTATTTGAGTTTTAGATGAGATTAACATTTTTGTTGATATACTCGACAGAAAAGTGTTTTATTTCAGACGTTGTTTGTCTCTTGATATCTATTCGACTGTAAAATATCATTAAATATTTTATTGACTTTTATTTGAAAGTAATTGACAAAAATTGGGTCATTTTATTGCATTACAAGTAAGGCTTTGATAAAACTATTTAAACATTAGTCTCACAAATAATAGACCATCGATTGATGCAAATAATGTATTATTTCATGAATTATAAAATGCTTTCAAATTGAATATTCAATTAAAATTTGATTTATTTGGATGAATGAGTGTATGATTTATATCTTAATTATAACCATTTATTAATTTGGTTGAGGAATAGTAATTTATTTGAAAATGTCATTAATCGCTGTCAATGTAAAAAGCAATAGAGAATTGTTGAACGATTAGGAATGGATTGAATTGAAATGGTTTGAACTGATGTGCACTAAACTAATGTTGTTGTTGTTGTGTTATAGTCTATGCGGACGGAAGCATATGTTTAGATATCCTGCAGAACCGTTGGAGTCCGACATACGACGTGTCGGCGATCCTGACGTCAATCCAATCGCTTTTGGACGAACCGAACCCTAACAGTCCGGCCAATAGTCTGGCCGCACAACTCTATCAGGAGAATCGACGCGAGTATGAGAAGAGAGTGGCCGCTATTGTGGAGCAGAGTTGGCTCAACTTCAGCGAAGACGAGGACAAAGAGCCTAAAAAGACAGACTCGACGTCCTCTTAATGTCTGCTTTCATCACCATTTGGTTTATAAATATATTAATTATAATTAAATTTTCATTTGTTTTTAAAATCCCTTCTATATTATCTCATTCTACATGTAATTTTAATTATGTTTTCTAATAATTATTCTAAATTTAATTGATGTTTGAATTTAAATTTTTTAGATAATTAACTCATTTTTCTTTTATGTATAGTTTTTTGAAAATAATTTCTGTACTTATTTTGTAATTCTTTTTCGTTCGAGAAATACAACAACAAAGACATCTCTAATAGGAAAACAAGTGTTTGTTTTTTATTTACATTTTGGCCTACATTTCTGACAATTTGTTTCTGTGCACAACACTTATAATACATATAAATATATACATAACAGTATATTTATAAATATATATAATATATATTATAAAAACGGTTAGTTTTATTAATTGATATATAATTATAATTATTAGACAAAACAAAAAGAGCGTGTATTTGAATGACGGCCACTAATAATAGGGACTTATAGGACCTCTAAGTCGACGTGTCGCACCTGTGGGTGTCTTTTCTGTATTATATTATAAAATATAAATTTTATTAATTAATTTTAATTGTTTTAATTAAAATTTCAATTCTGTATTCATTTGCAAAACACTTGTTGCCAAACGTACCTTAAGCTCCTTTTCGATGCGATCCACTTCAGCGCCCAATAGGTCCACAATATTCTCGCCGTGTTTTAGCATAAAGGCCTCCACCTCTTCCATCGCCGACAAGCTCTGCATCTCTTTCAACAGTACCTCCAAATCAATGGTATCTAAATAGCGTCGCGTTAAATGCCGGCCATCGAAGTCCACTTCGGCTATCATTTCGAGACACAATTAATATCGTTATTAAACGATAAGGCATTGATTGAAGCGCTAGTTTGTGGCCTACCTTTGTATCGGACCATTTCGTTGCCCATATCTGTTGCCTTCACGTCATGTATAGCTCTAACCATTTCGTCGCTCTCTAATTGTTTGTTAATTTCCATCAATCGTTTGGTAGGTATGGATCGGCCGACGAGTGCACCGCTATTGGTGTATATGATGAAAGAGGCGACCACTCCTAACAGACTGCCGATCACTATAGAGCCCGCGGCGTCGTATATCGGAGTGTTGTAGTACGCGGTCAGACCCATACACGAGCCCGCGATTATTACCCCAACAACGGCCGCCATGTCCTCCAATAAGACTACGTTAACACTCGGATCAGTTCCTCGATATACTGCAGCCAATACAATAAAATGAATATTTGTATAATAATTATATGGCAAACAATGAGTACCATATTCTTTAACAGACACGCCGTGTCTCTGCGCCCCTTTGCGGGCGGCGTTCAGAGCGATGAGTAGTGTTCCGCCCTCTGAGATGATAGAACCGCCTAATATATAGAACGCCCAGTAGAGGGACTCTATGTGTTGCGGATGTAGTAAACCGTCGATTCCGTTGTAAAACGAAAGACCAGTTCCGGCACAGAATATGCCCACACCTGAGATGAGTGACGCGATGTAACGCATCGGATGATAACCGTACGGATGGTCTACATTAGCGCTTTGCAGCGACTTTCGGATCCCAAACGCCAGTATCAACTGATTGCAAGTGTCGGCCAACGAGTGTATGGCTTCGGCGAACAGGGAATGGGAGCCCGTGTAGAGCCAGGCGAGCGTTTTGAATAGAAAATTGGCTCCATTTCTGTCCATTTTGTTTGAAATTANAAACGCCAGTATCAACTGATTGCAAGTGTCGGCCAACGAGTGTATGGCTTCGGCGAACAGGGAATGGGAGCCCGTGTAGAGCCAGGCGAGCGTTTTGAATAGAAAATTGGCTCCATTTCTGTCCATTTTGTTTGAAATTACATTAAATTTCATGAAAATAGAGTGCTTTAGATCTATACTTACATACAGACAGCTGTCATCACAACTCTTCCCGAACTCTTCAATATATCGTCTCTCAACTGAGAATAAATTAAAATTGTAATCAATATGTTATGAATCAATAACTACGAGAGCGTGCCTTAGCTTCGGGATCGTGTTGTCGCTTAAAGTCCTTCAATAACTTTTTCACGTGAAAAACATCTTTGGGTGAAAAACACAATTAAGTGATAAACAAAATAAATCAAATCAGTGTTAACTGACTGTCGATATATTTCTGTTCCTCTTCTTTGCGTTTGAGGAGAGCTCGATGTAAGGCATCGAAAGAACCCCAGATTTGAAGAGCTCTGCGAACAAAACAACACATAATAATTAGCACATTATAACAACTGTTGGATCTGTTACTTGGTTTCGATATCTTTACGCAGATATACAGTAATCGGCGGTTCGTTAGCGTAAGGACTTCTTCGCTGAAATTTGCGCAAATCATTCAAATCGATTGGTTTTAA